AGAGTCAGAAACATCGATGAGAGAGAAACATCGATCAGCTGCCTCCTGCACATCCCCCACCGGGGATGTGCCCGCAACCCAGGTACATGCCCTTGACTGGAATCGAACCTGGGACCTTTCAGTCCGCTAGCTGACGCTCTATCCACTGAGCCAAACCGGTTTCGGCAAAAATCTCTATATATTTTTTAAATCCTCATCAAAGCATTCAACCAAAAACCTTACCCAGCTTGCTTTAGAAGTCACTGAAGAGTCTAGAATCCAGATTTGGTTTTAGAGTCGAGCGAGGCACCGAGTCCAGAGAAGATCACAACCTGAGGAGGACTTAGAAGCAAGCCAGGGCAAAGGTCACCTTGTAGAGAAGACTCAAAGTAGAGAAGGTAGACAGTGCCATACCAGCTGCACTTCCTCCCAATTACACACCCTCAGCACGGCGCTGCCAACAACCTGTGTCCCGGGATTGATTCCGGAGAACAACTTGCTAAGGAAGTTGGGGATCCAGAGTCAAGAGTCCAAATTTGGTTTCAAAATCAAAGATCTAGGTTAGGGAAAAAAATCCTGAGGATGACTCATAAAGACCCACATGATCTAACCCAGCCGTGGGCAAACTACGGCCCGCGGGCCGGATCTGGCCCGTTTGAAATGAATAAAACTAAAAAAAAAAAATAGACCGTACCCTTTTATGTAATGATGTTTACTTTGAATTTATATTAGTTCACACAAACACTCCATCCATGCTTTTGTTCCGGCCCTCTGGTCCAGTTTAAGAACCCATTGTGGCCCTCGAGTCAAAAAGTTTGCCCACCCCTGAATTCTAACCCCTAGCTCTCTATCTTCATCTCATGCTATACGTCCCTTATTATCTATACTCCAGCCACATTCCTAGTTCTGTTCGTTTGCCCTATTCCTTCTTATCATAGGGCTTTTGCACAGGCAGTTTCTCTACCATACATTTGTACATAGGTAATGCCTATTAATTCTTAAAGTTTCAATTTAAGCATAATTTCCTCTAGAAGGCTTCCCTGGCATCCCTAAACAAGAAAAAAAATTTCCTCTTCCCTACATATTCCCAAGTACATCTCCTTTGTAATTTCACATAAAGCAACCACTTATTTATATGATGGTGTTTTTTTTAAAATGTATCTTTATTTATTTCAAAGAGGAAGGGAGAAAGAGAGAGAGAGAGAGAGAGAGAGAGAAACATCAATGATGAGAGAGAATCATTGATCAGCTGCCTCCTGCACACCCCACACTGGGGATCGAGACCACAACCCAGGCACGTGCCCTTGACTGGAATCGAACCCGGGACCCTTCAGTCAGCAGGCCAACACTCTATCCACTGAGCCACACCAGCTAGGGCTTGTTTCAGACTGACTCCTTCACTGACTCAGCTCTATATGTCTGATTTGGTTCCATTGTATCAGACAAACTGTCTGGCACCCCAGGAGACCCTCAGCATACATTTGCTTTTGCTGAGTAATTGTTCACCAGATGAACTCAGTT